TTTCAACATAGATCATCAAGTGTATTGATATCGATTTCAGAAAAATAAAAAAAATATTTTTGAAATTTATTACCCAACAAAAACAAAAAATTCCTTCCCAAAAAATTAAGTTTAAAAAACAGTGATTCATCAGTAGCTGCTCATAGCTCTCACTATCTTGCTGAGCTCTGCAGAGAGAAGAAATTGCTATCACTATTAAAAAATGTGTTGAAAATTGTAGAACCTCAGATTTTCCAAAAAGAGGTTTTTTTTCCAAAAAGAGTTTTTATTTCTAAAAAAGAATTCAAATCAGCGAATGATTATCGCTAACCAAAACTCTCTAAACAAAAAGGATAACGAAGCGTAGTACCAATGCCAACTAATTTCTTTCTTGCGCTAATTAAATTAATAACTAACTAAAAAAAAATTCCAAGATGTTCCATTTTAGTTAGATTTCAAAGCCTAGTGTTCCAAACGGGTCGGGTCAGGTACCTGGGTCAGATATAAAAATTTTTCAAGTAAAGTCTGGAAAGATAGCACCCCCTACTCTAAAACAATTGAGCGTCAATATAAAAAAAATAATTAATAAACAAACAAATAACATGTTATTAAATTATTGTTTAAAGTCACCTGATGATAGTTGTTGCTTGGGCATTATTTAGTTTTGACATTTTTATCTGACGAGATGATCATTAAAAAAAATTATTTTTTACTCTATCAAATGCAAAAGGAATGGCAAGAAATACCTACAAGATTAATAATGAGATTGCCAAATTCAATAAAGGGAAGCAGTAAATTTGATAAATTAATAGAAAAAGAAAAAAGAATCAAATTATGAAAAATTGGGAAGAAAAAGTAAAAAAGTGAAGACAAACAAAAAACAATAAAAATAAAATTATATATCTATTAATAATAATTTTACTGGTATATATACTCTTTAATTCATTAATTAAACTGAATAAGATATCATTTGTTTATAATAATAATGATAATAACAACAATAAATAACTAGATATTAAAGATAAATTGCCAACAATTCAACAAAAAATCAAACAACCTCATATACTTAAAGTTGCAATAATAGGAACAGCCAATTCAGGAAAATCTGCTTTGATAATTGGTGTGATAATGTAAATATTATCATAGTGATAATTGATGATTGATGATTAATAATAATAAAAAAATGTATTTATTAGGTGACAATTGTATCAGATAAACCACACACAACAGTTTCCGCAATATTAACAGTTGATAACAAGCAAATTGTAATTAATTAATTTATAATAAATTAATATACTCCCAGGTGTAATATTGACAACAAGATCAACATCACCATCACCATTAACCAAATATATAATCGTGAATTGATTAATTCTTCATGGAATACAATAGATGAAGTTGATTATGGTCATTATATATATAGTATGGTGATATGATTATATTATAATTTTATAGTGATATTAGTGATTCATACATTAAAAATAACTGAATACAGTTATTATGGCAAACAATTTATTATTTGAGAAATTAAAAACTATGAAAAAACCAATTATTTTAATATTTAGCAAGGTAAAATAACATTTAGGAATGTTATATATATTATATATTTACTTGTATATTTAAATTTTTTTTCTTATAGATTGATTTAATAAAAAATGAAAAAAAATTCAGAAATAAGAATTTAGAACTCTTAACTAAATACCCATTTCTACAAAACTGTCCAACTATTTCAACATCTGCTTTACATAATATTAAGTTAAATATGTTAAAAGTAAGTAATCAATATTTCTTGTTTTTATATTTGGGGCATACTGCAACAAAACCAGACAAAGTGAACATTGGTATTTCCAGTATTTCAGGGATCAAAATTTAGTCATTTGAAATGTGATTATAATTATCAGTTTTATAATATCCCATTTGTTATC